ATAGTTCTAGAGATTGGATTTCACTAAAAACCCACGAAATAACTCCTCCCACCATATTATGATGGTCCCCTAGTTTTTGACTCAATCTCATATCGATTTGTCCACGTGATCTGACAATTCAGGTTTGTACGAAGTTCGTTCCGAAATGGAGTGGTTGGTGTATTGCATAGTTCTAGGGATTGGATTTCACTAAAATCCCACGAAATGACTCCTTCCACCATATTATGATGTTCTCCAAGTTTTGGACTCAATCCGGTATCGATTGGCCCATGAAATCGGACAATTCAGGTTCGTACGAAGTTCGTTCCGAAATGGAGTGGTTGGTGTATTGCATAATTTTGGCCATTGAATTTCACTCAAAACTCACCAAATGACTCCGCCCACCATATCATGACCTTCCCCAAGTTTTGGACTCAATTCCATATCGATTTGTCCGTGTGATCTGACAATTTAGGTTCATACGAAGTTCGTTCTGAAATGGAGTGGTTGGTGTATTGCATGGTTCTAGGGATTGGATTTCACTAAAACCCCACGAAATGACTCCTCCGACCATATTATGATGTTCCCGAAGTTTTTGACTCAGTCCGATATCGATTGGCGCTTGACGTCAAACAATTCAGATTCGTATGAAGTTCATTCCGAAATGGAGTGGGTGGTTCATTACAAAGTTCTAGGGACAGGATTTCACTCAAAACTCACCAAATCACTCCTCCCACCATGTTGTTAAGTTCCCCAAGTTTTGGACTCAATCCGATATCGATTGGTCTGTGAAATAGGACAATTCAAGTTCGTACGAAGTTTGTTATGAAATGGAGTGGTTGGTGTATTGTATAGTTTTGGCCATTGGATTTCACTCAACACTCGCTAAATGTCTCCTCCAACCGTATTATGATGTTTCCCAAGTTTTGGACTCAATCCAATATCGATTGGTCCATGAAATTGGACAATTCAGGTTCGTATAAAGTTCGTTCTGTAATAGAGTGGTTGGTGTATTGCATAGTTCTAGAGATTGGATTTCACTAAAAACCCACGAAATGACTCCTCCCACCATATTATGATGCTCCCCATGTTTTGGACTCACTATGATACCGATTGGTCCATGAAATTGGATAATTCAGGTTCGTACGAAGTTCGTTTTGAAATGGAGTGGTTGGTGCAGTGCATTGTACTAGGGATTAGATTTCACTCAAAACCAACCAAATGACTCCTTCCACCATATTATGATGTCTCCTTAGTTTCGGACTTAATCCGGTATCGATTGGTCGATGAAATTGGACAATTCAGGTTCGTACAAAGGTCGTTCTGAAACGTAGTGGTTGGTGTATTGCATAGTTTTGGGCATTGGATTTCACTCAAAACTCACCAAATCACTCCTCCCACCATATTATGATGCTCCCCAAGTTTTGGATTCAATCCGATATAGATTTGTCCATGAAATCTGACAATTCAGGTTCATACGAAGTTCGTTCTGAAATGGAGTGGTTGGTGTATTGCATAGTTCTAGAGATTGGATTTCACTCAAACTCACCAAATGACTCATCCCACCATATTGTGATGCTCCCCAAGTTTTGGACTCAATCCGATATCGATTGGTCCATGGAATTGGACAATTCGGGTTTGTACGAAGTTCGTTATGAAATGAAGTGGTTTGTGTATTGCAAAGTTCAGGAGGCAGGTTTTCACCCAAAACTCACCAAATGACTCCTCCCACCATGTTGTGAAGTTCCTCAAGTTCGGGACTCAATCCGATATCGAATGGTTCATGAAATAGGACAATTCAGGTTCGTACGAAGTTCGTTCTGAAATGGAGTGTATGGTGTATTGCCTAGTTTTGGACATTAGATTTCACTCGAAACTCAACAAATGACTCCTCCCACCATATTATGATGTTTCCCAAGTTTTGAACTCAATCCTATATCGATTGGTCCATGAAATTGGACAATTCAGGTTCGTACGAAGTTCGTTCTGAAATGGAGTGGTTGGTGTATTGCATTGTTTTGGACATTAGATCTCACTCAAAACTCACCAAATGACTCCTCCCACCATTTTATGATGTTCCCCAAGTTTTGGACATAATCGTATATCGATTGGTCCTTGAAATCGGATAATTCAGATTCGTACGAAGTTCATTTTGAAATGGAGTGGTTAGTGTATTGCATAGTTCTACTGATTGGATTTCACTCAAAACCCACCAAATGACTCCTCCGACCTTATTATGATGTTCCCCAAGTTTTGGACATAATCGTATATCGATTGGTCCTTGAAATCGGATAATTCAGATTCGTACGAAGTTCATTCTGAAAGGGAGTGGTTAGTGTATTGCATAGTTCTACTGATTGGATTTCACTCAAAACCTACCAAATGACTCCTCCGACCTTATTATGATGTTCCCCAAGTTTTGGACATAATCGTATATCGATTGGTCCTTGAAATCGGACAATTCAGGTTCGTACGAAGTTCGTTTTGAAATGGAGTGGTTGGTGTTTCATACGAAGTTCGTTCTGAAATGAAATGGATGGTGTATTGCTCAGCATTAGCCATTTGATTTCACTCAAAACCCACCAAATGACTCCTCCGACCTTATTATGATGTTCCCCAAGTTTTGGACTCAATCCGATATCGATTGGTCCTTGAAATCGGACAATTCAGGTTCGTACGAAGTTCGTTTTGAAATGGAGTGGTTGGTGTATTGCATTGTTTTGGACATTAGATCTCACTCAAAACTCACCAAATCACTCCTCCCACCATATTATGATGCTCCCCAAGTTTTGGACTCAATCCGATATCGATTGGTCCTTGAAATCGGACAATTCAGGTTCGTACGAAGTTCGTTCTGAAATGAAATGGATGGTGTATTGCTCAGCATTAGCCATTTGATTTCACTCAAAACCCACCAAATGACTCCTCCCACTGTATTATGTTGTTTCCCAATTTTCAAACTCAGTTTGAGGTCGATTGGTCTGTTAAGTTGGACAATTCTGGTTTGTGCGAAGTTCGTTCTAAAATAGAGCAGTTGGTTTATTGCATAGTTCTACTGATTGGATTTCACTCAAAACCCACCAAATGCCTCCTCCCACTGTATTATGTTGTTTCCCAATTTTCAAACTCAGTTTGAGGTCGATTGGTCTGTTAAGTTGGACAATTCTGGTTTGTGCGAAGTTCGTTCTAAAATAGAGCAGTTGGTTTATTGCATAGTTCTACTGATTGGATTTCACTCAAAACCCACCAAATGACTCCTCCCACTGTATTATGTTGTTTCCCAATTTTCAAACTCAGTTTGAGGTCGATTGGTCTGTTAAGTTGGACAATTCTGGTTTGTGCGAAGTTCGTTCTAAAATAGAGCAGTTGGTTTATTGCATAGTTCTACAGATTGGATTTCACTCAAAGGCAACCAAATGACTCCTTCCACCATGTTATGATCTTCCCCAAGTTTTGGACTTAATATGACATCGATTGGTCCATTAAGTCGGAGAATTCAGGTTCGTACGAAGTTCGTTCTGAAGTGGAGTGGTTGGTGTATTGCACAGTTTTGGGCATTGGATTTCACTCAAAACACACCAAATGCCTCCTCGCAACGTATAATGATGTTCCCCAAGTTTTGGACTCCATCCGATATCGATTGGTCCATGAAATCGAACAATTCAGGTTCGTACGAAGTTCGTTCTGAAATGGAGTGGTTGGTGTTATGCATTGTATTGGCCGTTGGATTTCACTCAAAACTCAACAAATGACTCCTTCTACTGTATTATGATGTTCTCTAAGTTTTGGACGCGCTCCGATATCGATTGGTCCATGAAATCGGACAATTCAGGTTCGTACGAAGTTTGTTCTGAAATGGAGTTGTTGGTGTATCGCATAGTTTTGGACATTACGTTTCACTCAAAACTCACCAAATGACTCCTCCCACCATATTATGATGTTCCTCAAGTTTTGAACTCAATCTGATATGAATTGGTCCATGAAATCGGACTATTCAGGTTCATACAAAGTTCGTTCTGAAATGGAGTGGTTGGTGTATCGCATAGTGTTGGACTTTTCAGATTTCACTCAAAACTCACCAAATGACTCCTCCCACCATACTATGAAGTTCCCCCAAGTTTTGGACTCAATCCGATATCAATTGGTCCATGAAATCGGACAATTCAGGTTTGTACGAAGTTCATTCTGAAATGGAGTGGTTGGCGTGTCGCTTATTTTTGGACATTACATTTCACTCAAAACTCACCAAATGACTCCTCCCACCATATTATGATGCTCCCCAGGTTTTGGACTCAATCCGATATTGATTGGTCCTTCAAAATCGGACAATTCAAGTTCGAATAAAGTTCGTTCTAAGATGGAGTTGTTGGTGTGTCGCATAGTTTTGGACATTAGATTTCATTGAAAACTCACTAAATGACTCCTCCCACCATATTATGATGTTCCCCAAGTTTTGGACTCAATCTGATATCGATTGGTCCATGAAATCGAACAATTCAAGTTCGTACAAAGTTCGTTATGAAGTGGAGTGGTTGGTTTATCGCATAGTTTTGGACATTACATTTTACTCAAAACTTACCAAATGACTCCTCCCACCGTATTACGATGTTCCTTAAGTTTTGGGCTCAATCCAATATCGATTGGTTCTTGAAATCGGACAATTCAGGTTCGTACGAGGTTTGTTCTGAAATGGAGTGGTTGGTGTATCGCATAGTTTTGGACATTAGATTTCACTCATCCAAGCCTCGATCTTTTTTTGAATTTGATAACCTGCTAGGAAAGGGTGCTATAAGCCTAAAAGCGTTAGTTCAAATTGAAACTTGATTAGCATTAGATGATACCTTAGGGCCTGTGCTCTTTCCAAGAGCATTGAGGGGTTGTTTGGTGGAACCTCTGGGCTGCCCATGTGGTGGCTGAATGATCTCCACGTTTTCTCCATCTTCTTGCTCCTCATTGGCATCTCCAACCTTATTATCAACTTGTTTACCACTTCTCAAGATGTGTACTGCTTTAGCATGCTCTTAATGCCTTGAATTCACCTCCGTTTGGCTTGAACATGTTCTGGATGCTCTATTGCTCAAGGAGGATGCAATCTGCCCAACTTGCACTTCTAGCTTGTTCACTGCATTTTGAAGATTCTGATTGGTTTGCATCTGTTGCCCCATGAAATTCTTGAACATGTCTTGCAATTCTCCCATTTGGTCACCCCTTTGCTCTTGCACTCGTTGGCGAGCTTGCTCGAATTGCCTTTGTTGTATTTGAAATCCTGCGGGAGGTCCTTGAAATTGTTGCACATTTGAGTTATTGCTCCACTTGAAATTAGGATGATTTCTCCACCCCGGATTGTACGTGTTTGAGTAAGGATCATTATTAAGATTCCTTGCTTGAAGGGCATTTGTTTGTTGTAGCATGTACTCTGCAAAAGATTGATCTTGAACTTCCACTTTGTTTCCTAGAGGGCCAGTCACTGCCTGTTGAAGCAAAGAACACATAACATCAAGTTTTGCAGCAATCTCATTATTAGTACTTACCTCAGAGACCACAGCTTTCATAGGAGCTCCTCTTCCTTTATTGTGGCTCCATTGTTGAGAGTTAGCACTCAAGGATTCAAAGAGAGTAAAAGCCTCATCTGCTCTTTTGTTCATCAGTCCTTCTCCACTTGTTGCGTCTACCATCATCCTTTCGGAATCAAGCAGACCTTCATAGAAAGATTGCATTTGCATCCAACTCTCTATGTTGTGGTGTGGGCAAGAACTTATCATCTCCTTGTACCTCTCCCAACATTCATGAAAAGCTTCTCCTTCCTTTTGTGTGAAACCAAGGATTTCCTTTCTAATCTTGTTAGTCTTCTGAGCTGGAAAGAATTTATGCAAAAACTTATTAGAAAGCTCATCCCAAGTATGAATTGACGCATTAGGCAAGGAGTATAACCAAGACTTAGCTTTATCTTTTAAACTGAATGAGAATAGCCTCATCTTAATCTGCTCATCATCAAGGCCTTGAATTTTGATCGTAGCACATATTTCAAAGAATTGCTTAATATGCATGTAGGGATCCTCAGTGATATTACCATAATAAGTTGGAAGAAGATGAATCATACCACTTTTAAGCTCAAATCTGTCAACTGTGAGTTGAGGATAGACAATGCACGAAGGTTGATCGGTGACTTTGGGAATGGAAAACTCATGCAGGGGTTTTCAAGGTTGAACAACAAGTGCACCACCTCCTCCAACATTATTGCTGTTGTTCGGAATCTCTGCCATCTTGCTTGAACCTTCAGATTCGTAACTTTAGAATCAGAACTTGAAGAACTATAATTCCTCCTCAAACCAGCACGTACAGCAGTGGTTCTTGGCGAAAGTGGCTCAAGTGAACTTTGCTCCTGGCCAGATTCAGACAAGCACACACCAAGGAACTCAATTCAGTGCTTTCAATGGAGATAACAACAAAATACAAAAATTGAATACCAAAAGAAAAACCAACGAAAAGAAACAAATGAAACAAACAAAAACAAAGACAATCAAAGTAATCTAACTAAAGCACCATCGTTACCGGTACCCCGACAACGGTGCCAAAAACTTGTTGATGTGATTCCTAACAACTAAAATGAGTTATTAAAAACTGCAACTTTAATTCTCGCAAGTGCACGACCCGTTTATAGTATAGCTTATGTAAATACGATGTCGATCCCATGGAGAATGGTAACTTAGTTCCAAGTTAAATTACTTAGAATGCTAGAAAAACAAAGAACAAGGAAACTCACTAACTAGCTAAAGGCAAGGTTGAACTCAACAATGCCTCTTGCAAATTACTCAAGGTCTAGGACAGAATCCTAGCACTACACACGCACTCGAAATGGGGATTTTGTTGTTGAAATGAAAAGAAGAAAGTGAAATGAAAGTGCTCGAAAGTAAACACTGGACAGATTGTGAAACAATAATTGAGAGGTGTTAGAGCCTTGGAATCCACCACTAATTTTTCTATCCAAGTTATGAATGCATAGAAATTGACTCAAGCTTCATCAACAATAGATTATCGCATACAAGCCTATGGTATCTAGGTGCAAGATGCATGATTCTCCTAGGGCATGTAATTGTGCATGGTATCTACATAACATGTGATCTCTAATATGCAACCTAAGCATGGTATCTACTTAGAATAAAGCATACAAGAGTCATTAAGCTCTATGAGAATATGATAATCACACAAGTCCTAGAACATGGTATCTGTCCTACTCAACCTATGGTTATTAACCCCTTGAATGATTCTTAGGCCATTCATATGTTGCTTGTGAAAGGAGAGTAGAATTGGTGAATCAAAACCCCTTCCCAACCTGTACTAGATGCATAAAATCCTAGTTAGCTACTCCAAGAAAACATACATCAAGTACATAATAAACTGGTGATTAACAACTTGATAATGAAAGCAAGGAAATCAATTAACTATAAAATCATCCATAACATTGAATATTCATGACTAGGGCTTCATCCTAAGCCCTAACTAAATGGATTAGTCAAACATAACTATGAATACAGAAAATAAGAAATGCATAGATAGGATAGAGAGAAGAGAAGAACGAGTTGGCAGCAATGTAGTTCCCAGGACAGCTCCAGGCTTTCTTCTCTCTTTGTGGTGAATCTGAATGTGTGTATGAGAGTAATGGATGAAGTGAATGTGTGTGTCTGACTCTCTTGAATGAGTGTGTAACTCTCTATTTATAGAGTGCAATTTCGTCCTCCCCTTTGGCTGGTGAAGCACACCTCTCTTAATTGCTCCCAACTGCTCCAGCTGCCCATACTTGCCAACTGCTCCAGCTGACATACTTGCCAACTGCTCCAGCTGCCAAATGCATGCTTTGGTATGGTTTCTTTGTGGAAAGCTTGACCTTTGTTCATCTTTCTGAGTTCCTAGGCTGATTTGACTCCCAGGTGTGCCTGCCCATGTGTAGCACATGGCTCTAGGGTGGTAGCCACATTAAATGTAATGGCAGCTAACATGACATTTCTGTGAACTTGGTTCAGTCATTGATGTTATAATAGACACCCATTGGACTGAAATTTGGATATGTTATAATAGACACCCATTGGAACAACTTCTATCAAGTATGTATCCTTATCCGACCTGTGTAAGTTGCTAAAATTAGGCCTGCAAGATGACCTACGAAACTGAACTGACAAGGAGTGGCCCAAATTGGGTTTGTCTTTAAGCTCATATTCCTCTTGTGCCACTTAGCCCTTAACATGCATGAATTGTATCAGATGTCATCCCCTTGCTGTCTTAACTTACAAAACACACAAACATATGTAAGAGACTCAAAATAAAGAGAAACTAAACAAAATTACTATGCAAAGAAGGATAGCAAACGGGTGAAATTATGACCTTATCATTAAATTTCACTCTAAACTCACCAAATCACTCCTCCCACCATATTACGTGTGGACGCAATCCAATATCGAATTGTCCTTCAAATTGGACAATTTAAGTTCGTACAAAGTTCGTTTTGAAAAAGAGTGCTTGGTGTATTGGATAGTTCTAGTGATTCGATTTCACTCAAAAACCACCAAATTACGCCTCCTACCTTATTATGATGTTCCACAAGTTTTGGACTTAATCCGATATCGATTGGTCCTTGAAATCGGACAATACAGATTTGTACAAAGTTCGTTCTGAAAATAGAGTGGTTGGAGTATTGCACAGTTTTGGCCATTGGATTTCACTCAAAACCAACAAAATGACTCCTCCCACCATATTACGATGTTGCCCACGTTCTGGACTCAATTCGATAACGATTGGTCCATCAAATCGGACAATTCAAGTTCGTACGAAGTTTATTCTGAAATGGAGTGAATAGTTTATTGCATAGTTTTGCCCATTAGATTTCACTCAAAACACATCAACTGACTCCTCCCACCATATTATGGTGTTCCCCGAGTTTTGGACTCAATCCGATATCGATTGGTCCATGAAATCTTACAATTCAGGTTCGTATGAAGTTCGTTCTAAAATGGAGTGGTTGGTGTATTGCATACTTTTCGCCATTGGATTTCACCCAAAACACACCAAATTACTCCTCTCACCATATTATGATGTTCCCCAAGTTTTGGACTCAATTTGAAATCGATTGGTCCATGAAATCGGACAATTCAGGTTCGTACGAAGTTCGTTCTTAATGGAGTTGTTAGTGTATTGCGTAGTTTTGGGCATTGTATTTCACTGAAAACACACCTAATGACTCCTCCCAACATATTATGATGTTCCCCAAGTTTTGGACTCAATCTGATATCGATTAGTCCATGAAATTGGACAATTGACGTTCGTACGAAGGTCGTTTTGAAATGAAGTGGTTAGTTTATTGCATAGTTCTAGGGATTGGATTTCACTCAAAACATACCAAATGACTCCTCCCACAACATTAAGATGTTCCCCAAGTCTTGGACTCAATCCGATATCGATTGGTTCACAAAATTGGACAATTCTAGTTCGTACGATGTTCGTTCTGAAATGGACTGGTTGGTGTATTGCATAGTTCCGGAGATTGGATTTCACTGAAAACCCCCCAAATGACTCCTCCCACAATATTGTGTGGTTCTGCAAGTTCTGGGCCCAATCCGATATCGATTGGTCCCCGTAATCGGACAATTCAGGTTCGTACGAAGTTTGTTCTGACAATGGAGTGGTTGTTGTATTGCATAGTTCTGGAGATTGGATTTCACTCAAAACCCACCAAATGACTCCCCTCACCATATTGTGATGTTCCGCAAGTTTTGGGCTCAATCCAACATAGATTGGTCCATGAATTGGACAATTCGGGTTCGTACCAAATTCGTTCTGAAATAGAGTGGTTGGTGCATTGCATAGTTTTAGCCACTGCATTTCACTCTAAACTCACCAAATGATTCCTCCCAAAATATTATGATGTTCCCCACGTTTTGGACTCAGCCTGATATTGATTGATCCGTGAAATCCGACAATTTAAGTTCGTACGAAGTTCGTTGTGAAATGGAGTTGTTGGTGTATTGTATACTTCTAGAGATTGTATTTCACTCAAAACCCACCAAATGACTCCTCCCACCATATTACGATGTTCCCCACGTTTTGGACTCAATCCGATATCTATTGTTCCATGAAATTGGACAATTCAGGTTTGTATGAAGTTCGTTTTGAAATGGAGTGATAGGTGTATTGAATGGTTTTCGCCATTAGGTAATCTAATACCGATTGGTCTGTGAAATTGAACAATTCAGGTTCATACGAAGTTCATTCTAAAATGAAGTCATTGGTGCATTGCACAGTTTTGGGGATTGGATTTCACTCAAAACCCACCAAATGACTCCTCCCACCTTATTATGATGTTCCCCAAGTTTTACACTCAATATGATATCAATTGGTCCATGAAATCGGACAATTTGGGTTCGTACAAAGTTTGTTTTGAAATGGAGTAGTTGGTGTGTTGCAAAGTTTTAGAGATTGGATGTAATAATCCAAACCCAAAATTAATATTTAATTATTAATTTATTTGAGAAAAAGACTAAAATACCCTTAGAATTTTTATTAGGTCAAAAGTTGACTTTTTGACTGGGAAGGAATTTTGGGATTTCAATTATACCGTTGTGTAGAGCGCAGCGAGATGAGTCCGTAGACACATAGTGGACTCAAATCGAAGTTGTAACGAAGGAGTTACGATCAAAATAAGTTCAGTGGCATAACCGTAAATATGTCGAAGTGCAGTTTTTTTAAAAAACCTAGAATTTCGTCAATTTTGGGGAGCCCGACTAGCCATCTTCAAGGGGCGATTTCTCTCACCTCCAGTCACCGATTCAAGCAAGACCGGTCACGTTAGAACCACCACACTTCCCTCTTCCAGCCCCAGCCCTTCTCTGCCTCGATCCGCCACCGTAGTCGCCGGAATCAGCCACGAAACAGGCGGTGTTGGACAGATTTTTCTTAAACTTTCACCGGCCGTTTCTCTCCCCTCCGACCACCAAATCAGTCAAGTGAGGTATGGATTTCTAGCTATTTTTCATGCTATCGCTGCTGGTTGGGTAGG